GTGTTCTCTCCCAAACTTTTTGGCGGGACCGGCAGACACCGGGGCCATCTGTCCGGCCGCTCTTCCCAAGGTTCATACCGAGGATATCGAGGCCCTGCCACACCTAGGTTTCAACTTCTGGAGACCAAGCCCCCTTTGCCCTTCTTCCTGGTCAGGGGCAGATCGTGGCAAACACGAGGAACCAGGGGCACCTCGTATGGCCGACGGCCTTATGTTAAGTGTCCTACCACCCTTTTCCCCGTGTATGTCTATAGTGGGGGGAAGACTGTCTCACTTTATAAATGCCTGGCACACACTGACGACAGACGCTTGGGTCCTACATACGGTCCTAGGGTGCCAAATCAAATTTATACAACACCCTGTCCAAACATCCAGACCATATCGGATAGCCTTCTCCACACACGACAAGACCTTGGTAAGCGAGGAAATCCTTGTGCTGCAAGAGAAGGACGCGATCTATCGGGTCCCGCCATACTCTCACGGCTTCGAAAGCAACCTCTTCCTAGTGCCCAAGAAAGGCGGGGGGCGTCTAGTCATCATCTTACGCCCCCTAAACGCATTCGTGCGATACCACCACTTCAAAAAAATATACGATAAAAAAAGGGAAGGAAAAAGTAATTTAATCATATATATCACTAATTAATTTGGGATAACTATAGCAATACAATGAGTAATGTGAAATGGAATTGGATACAATTATTCTTTATGAATGTAGTCTTTGTAACAGGAATATAACAGTATGTATACATAAGTTTATAAAAAGATTTGTATTTCACTGTCTTTTTTTAAATAAGTGAAAGTGTGAATTTCATTGTTTTTATCGTATATTTTTGACTGTGATTTTAAATGAGGCTATTTTATATTATGGACTGATACTGCGCTCTTTTCCTTTATTTATCTTCATGATATGAATTTTTGAAAGAAGAAGAAACCTTATAAAGTGAACTTTGAAACTGTAAAACGAATGGAAGTAAAACACCATCACCCGTTATGGAGAAAATGATTAGGAGGACAACATCTCGGTACCTTCGGTTACCGTAACGAAAAAGAGGCATGGAACGCACACGCTGTGCTGGTGGGCGGCACTAGCGTGTCACGAGGGATTGTACCGATCATTTACCGGCCGATTTGAGGAGATTTAAACCGATGAAGGGAACCCAGAAATATTCATCATTTTTATCTGGCTGAGGAAGCCAATTAAAATTGGCGAAACGCGTTCCAGTTTTTCAAGCCGATATAGGCATTTTAATTTTGTATGTATATTTAATAAAATTGTTCTTTCTATGTTTACACAAATTGGTTCCAGCTTTTACTTTTCAACAAAGAAGGAGTGCAGTCCTTGATCTGCACAATGCGGGTTTATTGAGTCATATTCTTATGACTCCAACATTGTGAGTATTGACTCTTGAAATTTTATATTCTCATATCTATATATCCAAACGATACTGCGCAATTGGTGGTACCCCCTGTTGTGTTTTTTAGAGAAAAAGGAAAAGACATCAAATTTGAATTCTTTTGAATTTAATACTATTATAAAATAGTATTCTCTAAACGTAGATTCACGGGACCAATCCGCCGTTCTGAGAAGATCTTCCAATCTACAGCCCAAATTGAAAATCTTTGAAGCCATGGCTCCTCTAGTAGAATGAGCACCATATATAAATGTATCCATGTTCGCCAAGGTCATTATCCATTATCCACGATAACGCTAGCCCGATGGGTGAAATGGATAATGACCTTGGCGAACATGGATACATTTATATATGGTGCTCATTCTACTAGAGGAGCCATGGCTTCAAAGATTTTCAATTTGGGCTGTAGATTGGAAGACCTTCTCAGAACGGCGGATTGGTCCCGTGAATCTACGTTTAGAGAATACTATTTTAGACCTACAGAACATGTTTCATCTGCGTTTTTTTCACAGCTTTAAACTAGCCTAATAAGAGCCTCCGTGTCCTTTAATACAATTACCAGATTTTACTAATTACATGACGTAAAGTCATGATTTTATTAAGGACACAGAGGTGAGTATTAGTCCACCCAGATATGGTAAGTTTGGACTTTTTGTATCCCAACCCAGATATGTGAGAAGTTGTTCATAGTACATGGTGGAGTCTTTGTCGTTTAATGCCTGGCTCTTAAAAATTTCAACAGTTACCATAGAAATGTGTGATTCAGATAGTAAAGGATTATATTTAGGATGGTTTAATACTATGATAATATGAAAATAGTTGGGAGAACATATTTTACCATTTGTTCTCTCTGTCCCCCTCTAGCCTGAAAGTAATGACATCATGACAACATCGACATCTTCCACAGTTCGAGAGGATCACTTCCGAAGATCCAGCTCTCTCTAGGAAGGATCCGTCACCAAGAATTTCGGTTACCTGCACGTTCTCTGATGTTTCAGTTGATTGGTTAATTGCGGTTATTAAATATTAGCTTCGGCATCAACAGGAAAGAGGAAGAGATGGGGGTCACATGGGGCTATATGATATTTGGACTGTTCCTATTGGATAGAATATAGTGATGTAATGGTTTAACCCTGTGAGGGTATTTTGTTCATTTTTTCTACAGGGAGTGCAGAATTATTAGGCAAGTTGTATTTTTGAGGATTAATTTTATTATTGAACAACAACCATGTTCTCAATGAACCCAAAAAACTCATTAATATCAAAGCTGAATATTTTTGGAAGTAGTTTTTAGTTTGTTTTTAGTTTTAGCTATGTTAGGGGGATATCTGTGTGTGCAGGTGACTATTACTGTGCATAATTATTAGGCAACTTAACAAAAAACAAATATATACCCATTTCAATTATTTATTATTACCAGTGAAACCAATATAACATCTCAACATTCACAAATATACATTTCTGACATTCAAAAACAAAACAAAAACAAATCAGTGACCAATATAGCCACCTTTCTTTGCAAGGACACTCAAAAGCCTGCCATCCATGGATTCTGTCAGTGTTTTGATCTGTTCACCATCAACATTGCGTGCAGCAGCAACCACAGCCTCCCAGACACTGTTCAGAGAGGTGTACTGTTTTCCCTCCTTGTAAATCTCACATTTGATGATGGACCACAGGTTCTCAATGGGGTTCAGATCAGGTGAACAAGGAGGCCATGTCATTAGATTTTCTTCTTTTATACCCTTTCTTGCCAGCCACGCTGTGGAGTACTTGGACGCGTGTGATGGAGCATTGTCCTGCATGAAAATCATGTTTTTCTTGAAGGATGCAGACTTCTTCCTGTACCACTGCTTGAAGAAGGTGTCTTCCAGGAACTGGCAGTAGGACTGGGAGTTGAGCTTGACTCCATCCTCAACCCGAAAAGGCCCCACAAGCTCATCTTTGATGATACCAGCCCAAACCAGTACTCCACCTCCACCTTGCTGGCGTCTGAGTCGGACTGGAGCTCTCTGCCCTTTACCAATCCAGCCACGGGCCCATCCATCTGGCCCATCAAGACTCACTCTCATTTCATCAGTCCATAAAACCTTAGAAAAATCAGTCTTGAGATATTTCTTGGCCCAGTCTTGACGTTTCAGCTTGTGTGTCTTGTTCAGTGGTGGTCGTCTTTCAGCCTTTCTTACCTTGGCCATGTCTCTGAGTATTGCACACCTTGTGCTTTTGGGCACTCCAGTGATGTTGCAGCTCTGAAATATGGCCAAACTGGTGGCAAGTGGCATCGTGGCAGCTGCACGCTTGACTTTTCTCAGTTCATGGGCAGTTATTTTGCGCCTTGGTTTTTCCACACGCTTCTTGCGACCCTGTTGACTATTTTGAATGAAACGCTTGATTGTTCGATGATCACGCTTCAGAAGCTTTGCAATTTTAAGAGTGCTGCATCCCTCTGCAAGATATCTCACTATTTTTGACTTTTCTGAGCCTGTCAAGTCCTTCTTTTGACCCATTTTGCCAAAGGAAAGGAAGTTGCCTAATAATTATGCACACCTGATATAGGGTGTTGATGTCATTAGACCACACCCTTCTCATTACAGAGATGCACATCACCTAATATGCTTAATTGGTAGTAGGCTTTCGAGCCTATACAGCTTGGAGTAAGACAACATGCATAAAGAGGATGAGGTGGTCAAAATACTCATTTGCCTAATAATTCTGCACTCCCTGTATATTATAAATACCTTAGCTTTCTTTGCTGCTGAGGAATAAAAGAAAGAGATAAGCCTAATACTCGCCTCCATGTCCTTAATAAAATCATGACTTTACGTCATGTAATTAGTAAAATCTGGTAATTCTCCAAGAAATCTGCCTTCGATTTTGTCCATTTATGTTCCCGTATCCTTCCTGGCTAGCCTTTTTTGTAAGTATGGCTTGCATTTGAATTCTCAGTTGAACCAAATTTGTAGGTGGATAACTGCCAATTCTGTATGATTATCTCTGTATGTGAGCTTTCAGTTGTGTAATTCCATTATTCAGTTCTGAATTTCAGCTTGGTTGTATTCAATATAATTCAGGGGCTGCAAGGGAAAACGTAGATATTGGTAAACTTTGAGAATAATATCTGGATTTTCCAAATTGTGCCTGATTATTTTTGCAAATCTACACCCGGAGCATTTAAACTTTATATTAAATAATCTACCAACTTTTCCAGCTACTGTATGATTCTTACATAGACTTCTATCAAAATTAATATAGTGAATCTTTTAAGTTTGTATTTTGCTCTAGATATTGCACATGCAATGCTAAATATTTTTGTTTTGTGACACACGATTCATTCATTTTGTTTTAGACTCAAATACAAAAAGGCCATATAAATATATTTACACCCTTTTTTATTTAAAAAAATGTAATGTTTATTAAAAATAACAGTACAACAGTACATTTCAAACTAAGTACAATTTGTTGTATAGACTTATTAGCCAACTATATATAGTTATATTATAAATATGTCTGATGAACTACAAAAAATACTTTAAGCTTCTTTAATAAAAAAAAAAAAAATTGTCAAAGAAAATGACATTTTACACTTGAGTTATGTTCAACGTAATTTTTCTATCTTAAACTTTGCTGTTCAATATTGGTTACATTATTGTAGACTCGAAGAAGATGTATGCTTTTGATAATAAGTGCTGGATAACAAATGCCTCTCAGGTTGATTGTTAAAGGGGATGTGACAGTTAAAACAATGTCTCAAACTACAGTCTTAAATAAACGCAAGAAAGCTGCAAGAAATAAGGCTGTTAGCATAACCCCAGTAAGGCAGTAATAAGAGATTGAAAAGCTTGCTTGATAGAATAAAACATATCAGCTACAATTTATGTTTTCCGATACAACTACATTGCCGAAATATAAAAGAGATATATAGGATACAGATAAATCAAATACTTAATTCCAGCTGGGCAAGAAATTCATTTATATCATTTTCCAACATATAGCAGATTTTGCAGCAATATGCATATATGCAAAACAATGAAACATAGATACATATAAAAGGATTACATAGAAAAAGGACTACATCCACTGGGGCTCGATCGATGAAATAGAGAGGTTATATATATCCAAGAGATCACTTATTAGGCCTGTGGGGTCAGTGAAAGTGGCCCAATTAACTAGACCCTCTATTCCATTCTTAAGCTCAATCTAATTGAATTTTGTTTCTATATATCAGCCAAGAAAGCCATGATCATGATATGAGATGAATTTGCCAGAGGAAGAAACAAAATTGCATTCCATTAAGTATTGGTATTCTATTTGGTTTAAAATCTCTTGCCACGTTGGAGGATGGTTAGATTTCCATTTACGGGCAATAGAAGGCATACAGAATCTGTGTAATAAGATATTTGTATTTTTTTTCTCCATTAGCAGGAAATCTAAGTTAAATTGGAAAAGAGAAGGTGAGAGTATTATAGTAAGCGGAGTTAAGTCTGATATCAGAAAAGAAATACGTATAATAGTGTCATTTAATAACTCACAATTGTACCATATATGTAATATTGTACCAATCGTTTTATGACATCTCCAACAGATAGGTGAATATGCTTTGGAAATTTTATGTAATTTGAAAGGACCCTGGTACTATATATATATATATATATATATATATATATATAAATAATATTTAGATATAATTCTAACAAAGATATACAGTGAATATTAATTTTTTTAATTGGATAGTAACTTGATACCATTTGTAGGGGGTTACATTGAGATCCTTCTCCCATTTCACTATTGGTGCAATTTTACCTGCCTCATCTTCCAATAATTTGGAAAATCTGGTTATTAAGCCCTTAGTTCCTACTCTATCTAAATATCCTAAAATTTTTGAATTTAGATAGTGTTTAATCCTTAAATACCGACAAATGTCACTAGAGGGTATATTATATATAGTTTGTAAACCCAGAAAACTATTCAATATATTATTTTCATATAAGTCTGCAATTTTGTTTATCCCCTTTAACTTCCAATTGTACATGTCCATATCGATCATGTTATACTGAAGAATTTCTATTGGGGCTTGTATTAGTATAGAATCCAAGAGGTTAAACTTAATTTTCAGTTTTTTTTAATTCATCCAACAAACCGGCTACCAATTGGAATATTCACGGTAGTTTATTACCCCAAACAAAGTTAGAAAATAATCTTTGGAATTGTAGGATCCTATATTTGCCTAGTTTAAAGGGTAAAGACCTGAATAAAAATAGCAATTTCGGAATAGAATATGCATTCACTATATTCAATCGCCCCAACCATGAAATTTCGATTTTGCCCCACTTAGTCAATTGTTTATGGGTTGTAGTATATAAGTCTTCATAGTTTTGGTGCAATATATTCTGAATATTAAAATAAAGTTTGATACCCAAATATTTAAAATACTCCATATTCCAATTAAACTGGAATTTAGGCTTGAGTAAAGATAATTCTGCCTCAATTATATTTAGTACCAGAATTTGCTTTTTTAATGTTTATTTTATAATTTGAATAGTGTGTAGGGAACTGCACTCACACCCATCAGTCTGAGCCAGGGTGCTTTAACGGTACCGGAACCAAACATCAGATTCCCAAAGTGGTAAAATAAAGGAAAAATGGTCTGGGCACTTTATTAGAAGCACAGCAACATTTTGACCATAAAGGTCTTTATCAAGCTTGATAAAGACCTTTATGGTCAAAACGTTGCTGTGCTTCTAATAAAGTGCCCATTTTTGAACCAAGGAGTGCCTGGACCATTTTTCCTTTATTTTATAATTTTAAATATTTCTCAATAGTTTTTTTATAACCTCTGGAATAGAGATTGAGGGCTTCACCAGGGACAAGAGCAAATCATCAGCAAATAGGGAGATTTTGTACTCACGATCAGCTGATTTAATATCATGTATTTCTTTGTTCTCCCTAATAATAATAGCCAGTGGCTCAAGAGATAAGATGTAAAGTAATGGAGCCAATGGACAACCTTGCCTTGTGCCATTATTTATTGGAATGGGGATGATTCAAAGAAAGAATTTACAATTTTCGCCACTGGCTCCGTTTATAGTGAGATAATTTTATCTTTAAATGGACCCTGAAATCCAAATTTATTTAAAACTTTATCAAAAAATCTCCAGTTAACTATACCAAATGCTTTTTCAGCATCGAGGGCCAAAATAACCATTTCAGAATTGGTAAGATTACTTTTGATTATCAGATTAAGAATTTTGCGGATATTATCCGTTGTACCTCTGTCCCTGATGAAGCCCGACTGATCCACCAAAATCAGATACGAGATTACTAGTTGCAATCTGTTTGCTAAAATATGGGAATAGATTTTTATGTATAGATTTATTAAAGAAAGTCTATAGTTTGAAGTATTGGTAAGATCTTTACCTGGTTTAGGGAACCGGATGATAGATGCTAACAACATCGCTTTAGGAAAGGGATTTGTAATAGAGACTTTTTAAAATACCTTCTGTAATGTGGGAGCCAAGATGTCAGCAAAAGTTTTATAAAACATGGCTGAGAAACCATCCGGTCCAGGGGCTTTGTTGGTTTTAAGATTTTTTTTATTGTATTAATTATTTCAGAACTACTCATTAGAGCATTCAGCTCACTAAGTTTTTCATAAGATAACTTTGGAATATGTAGTTTATTCCAAAAATTCATAAATTTACGAATTAGGCACCTTAGAATCTGGTATGTTATATAAAGCCGTATAGACGTCTACAAAAGCCTGAAATATATCTTCAGGACTTAAAGAACACTCATCTCCTACTGTTATTTTTTTTTTATTGATTTATCCTTAGAATTATCTTTGAATCTATTTGTTAGGACTTTACTAACCTTATTGTTATGATACCATGTTTGCTTAAGGAATTTTATAGATTTATTAACCTCGCCCTGAATCTTTTTATTTATATCGTGTTGCAGGTGTATAATTTTGTTTGTAACGGTTTGAGTTGTTTGTAACTTTAGTCTTTCTAATTTAGCCAACTTAATATATAAAATAGAATTACTTTCCTCTTTGTTTTTCTTTTGTCTCGAGCCTGCTTTTATTAGAACCCCTCTAGCAAAACTTTTCAAAGTACACCAAACAATAGATGTAGAAACCATCCTGTTGTCATTATTTTGAATAAAGAAGTCTAATTCCCAAGCTAAATCAGTGGTTATCTCATCTATACATAAAAAAGGCTTTTATTCAGTCTCCATCTATTTCTAATTTTAAAGAAAGTTGGAATCTTAAATGTTAAAAATACAGGAGTATGGTCAGATAGAATAATTGAGCCAATCCTAGAATCCATAATCTGGTCCAAAAAAATCGGGCCTGACAAGAAAAAAATCTACTTGGGAGTAAGTCTGATGAACGTTAGAGAAATATGTGTAATCTCTCAAAGCTGGATTGAAAGTTCATAAAGTGAGTTTTTCAACAAACAAAATACATTTATTGGCGGTTGTTTTAATTTTTGGGTCCCATTCATCTTTGTTATTTTTGCTTTTATCTAATTTAAAATTGGGAATACAATTAAAATCCCCTCCCACGATGAAGTTTCCATACTTAACCTTATCAATTCTGGAAATGCAATCATCCAGGAAGCTCATTGAGAAAAAGAGTAAAAATCTTGTAATTTATCCTAGCAATTAGAAGAAGAAATATACCATTAGGATCGCTTTCAGAATGCATAAATTCAGATTTGAGGTTTTTAGACAAAACAATAGCTACTCCCCCTTTTTAAGTTTTCCTTCAAGATTGGCATAGTAGACTATAGGGAAGTTATTGAAATGCCATAATTTAGTAGGCGAGGATATCCAATGAGTCTCCTGGAGAAAAGCTATATCCAGATTACTGTCTTTTAAGAATTTGCACAATGCCCCCCGGTTTTTGGGTTGAAGTAAGCCCTTGGATATTCCATGAAACACGCCTAAATGTCATCAAAAACCATCATAACCCCTATAATCGAGGCCCAGTGGACCAGTCCCTTAACATTTACAAACAAAAAAGATATCAATATTTGTTTATAGCTTTTGTAAACAAATTACATTTTTACACAAAAAGTTGAACAAAGTGTCATATTCAAGTAATACCTGCTACTTTTTTACACAAGTAGTGAGGCATGGAGATTAACTAGGAGATTTACTACACATGCTTGGAAACAACATATCCATTAAATAGAAAAAAAAAAGATAATAATAATAATATTAAGTAGTGATAAATATGGAATCGCCTAAGTTTTAATGATCAGATAGTATTTAGTGAACCGGAGAGTATTATCACATTAATAAAAAATAAAAAAATATCCTCACATTAGTTTATATCGCAGCTAAAGTTCCAGCTGAGATCAATTTGTAGTACCGTTAAAATCAAAATTATTCGAGCTTAGCAGAAGTGCTACCTACAGAATTGCTCACCCGCAATGCGATCTCAACATCGGGAATACTGACCCTCACCGTGGTTCTTTTGTCAACCTCTTTGTCACTTGTACTCCGATTTAAATATGGGAAATGACAAAACCTGAGTGATCCCGTCGACCTCCCGGGTGAGTTCAAGGTGAGTTCACCTGGCTCTTTCCCAGGACGGTTCTTTGCTAGGTCCACGGTGATCTGCCTGACTGTAATCAGCAAGAAGTATGCTTGAAGTATGCTCAGCACTCTGCGTGCAGCATATGGCATTCAGCATTTCACCACCATGCTCATCGGCAAAACCCACACCTCGTCCTAGTTTCCCCGACACCTCACATCCTCACGTGTGTGTTACGTCATACCTCCCCCACACCTTAACCAACCAATTGTTGTGTATTTCAACGTTTCATTAATCGATTCCCTGCCATTTAGGAGTTAAACCACTAGAAGCCCTTGTCACACCTGCCTGCATGTGACTTTGACAGCCTTCCTAAACACTTCCTGTAAAGAGAGATCTAATGTTTAAACTTTCTTTAATACATAATCTGTTTAATCTTGCCTTCTAGACCCTACATGAGCCTCCTGTGTTGGATTAGGATTCAGTTTACAGTGCAGGGGATAAAAACTTCTAAAATGAGTTAACATCTGGTTACAAATGAAACCATTTTGCTCATGCAGACTGTGGGAATCACATCTTGGGGAGGTGTGACTGGGGTTGCATGGACATAAATAAAATTGATTTAACTCCTAAATGACAGAGAAAGAGGCATAGGCTTCAATAAAACAATTTTTCCCTTATTAAATTCAGTAGGCAAAAAGACTATACAAACCACTGACGGCTTCCCCAATGTGCATATATACATAGCGATTACCACTATGTATATATGCATTTGCCCTGCTGTCATGTATAGTGAAGAGGAGACAACAAGCTCCTCGTCGAGTAGTGTCCTCTTGCAAGACCCATTGCTGCGAGTTGTCTTGGCAACACTATGTGCAGCACAAATGCCACTCAAATGCCACTCTTGCGAGAGAAGGAGAGGAACTGCGGCACGCTGGAGGTGGAGGATGGAGACTCCTGGGCCCCTTCTTCAGTATACAACCTGCTGTGCCACCGGACCATCAGGGAATCTAGTGTTCCCCCTCCCTGGTATAAGTCGAGTTTTTCGGCACATACTCGAGTTAATGTCTGTATTATGGCAATTTACATTGCCATAATACAGACCAGGACCGCCAGGCTCATTACAAGCCCGACGGTCCTGTTGGGGGCTGACAGTGAGCGGTTACTTACCTTACTGCAGCTCCTGTTAGCTCCCTTCTCCTCCGTGCAGCTCCTCTGTCAGCTCCCACTGTAAGTCTCGCGAGAGCCGCGGGGTCACCGCGGCTCTCGCGAGACTTACAGTGGGAGCTGACAGAGGAGCTGCACGGAGGAGAAGAGAGCTGACAGGAGCTGCAGGAAAGGTAAGTAACCGCTCACTGTCAGCCCCCCCTCCTACACAGCCCATACACTGGACCACCAGGGACTGAGAGCCCCCCTCCCTGGCAAGCTAACAAGCAGGGAGGGGGGACGAAAATTAAATTAAATAATAAAAAAAACAATAAAAAATATTAACTTAAAATATTAAAATAAAATAAACTTAAAATATTAAAATAAAATAATAAAACAAAAAAACTTAAAATATTAAAATAAAAAAATTCTAATAAAAATGCCCTCCTCCCACCCAGTTCACACACACACACACACACACACACACACACACACACACACACACACAAACACTCTCATACAAACACACACACTCATACAAACAATCTGCATTCTACACACACTCATACAAACACACACACACTGCATTATATACAGACAGAGTGTGTGCGTGTTTGTATGAGTGTGTGTGTAGAATGCAGATTGTTTGTATGAGTGTGTGTGTGTATAATGCAGAGTGTGTGTTTGTATGAGTGTGTGTGTGTGTGTATATATAATTCTAAAAATCACAGAATTTCATAGCCCCAAGTTTTACCCTCGACTTATCCACGAGGCATAGCATATTTCACAATTGTTGGTCACAAAACTGCCCTCGACTTATACATGAGATCGACTTATACACGAGTATATACGGTAAGAGGCTGGGAGAAGGGGATAAACGTCATTATAAATAAAAAAACTCGCCACCCCTCTTATCCAACACAACAAACTAACACACACACAGCATCCGTTACACACTCCCACTGCATCCACTATGCCCCCACACTGCATACACTTTACAAACACACAACACACACACCCACTGCACTCACTATAGACACACAGTGCATCCACTTTTTTTAACCATGTTTGTGGACTTGAGGCGGGCCCTGTGGGTGGACTCGAGGCGGGCCCTGTGGGCGGACTCATGGGCGAGCCCCATGCAGGGCGACGCTACCTGTAAGGCGACCTAGGCAGCCGCCTAGGGCGCAATTTAGCAGGGGGCGCCGGATCCCTGGCCCGGAGTCACCGCTTTTACAAGCCTCAGGCGGCGCAGCATTGCTGTGGAGGGCGGCTCGATTTGAGCAGCAGGAAGGAAGCGCAGAGCGCTCCCTCCTGCCGGTCTCTCAATGTAGCGTGGCTGGGCGGCGCAGAACGCGGGACAGGAACCTCTGTTTCCTGTACCCGGCCGCCGGCGG